CCCCAAAACCCCAAAACCCCAAAACCCCACGGAAATGAAAATTTATTGAATTTTATTTATGAAAACTGCTAGCAGAAAAGTTTCTATTGATGGTAAAATAATGTTGCTTAATTCTGTGTAGAGTATTACCATACTGTAGGTCTAGATCCTGACTCTCCAACGACGAAACAAGCGATGTTAAGGTTGGGTATCACTAGATCAGAGATACTCAGACCTCATGTCAAGCAATATTGTAAATTTATTTCTGTAATTTAACCGTCCTTAGCCAATAAGACTATATCTGAAGAACTACAGATTGCTAAACTACAAGAGAGAAGTAAGTATAAATTCTGGAGGAAGACTATTAAGGCAATTGCTCAGGAGAGAAACACAATCTTGGCTCTAAAGTACATCAAGACTTATGAGAATGATGGGAAATAAGGAATCTGAAATTTATAGGTACAAGTTAGGCTTGCCTAAAACCAGGAAGCTTGATAACTCGAGAAATGCACTTAATGATACAGTTTCTTTGACAAAGCTATCTAATGATGTTACTCAGAACAATGATGATAGCTTCACTTATTCACGTAAGATGACTCTTGGAAAATCTGAGAGCCCTAATGATGAATACTTACCCAGATTAGGAGGAGCTAGATCTAGAGCTACAAGTTTCAAACAACCAAGGATCTCAAGTCCTTCTAGAAAGGAAACAGAAGTTACTTCAAAAAGGCATCAGGCTTACTCAATAATAAAGCTGAAGAACATGCAAAACTCTCCTAAGTTTGGTAGGAAACTTTTCCAAGCTCGAGTTGAGGGCTACTTAAGACAACCCTTGACAAATTTCGATCACATGGATGATGAAATAATAAATTCTGGGATATTCGACTTAAAGAGCTCGAAAGCAAGGTAAGTACGCCCTAACCTTTTAGTCAGATAATGACAATCCCATATGGAAGATTTAATGATCTCAGAGGAACCCGTACACTCCGCACCGTTTCTGAGGGTAAAGCACAATCCAAAATTTCCAGAAAAAGCGACCTTGATATTAAAAAGTATTGAATCTCTGAGCTTAACAGACAGAATCAGCTGAAAGAACGAATTAACTTCGAAAACCGCCTAAAGCTCCAGAAGGATCTCTCTGAAAGGATCAGGAAAATTTAAGATAGAGACTCAGAACCAGAAACGCCAAAAAGCTGCTGAAAACGTGAAGAGAATTAACGAGCAAATTGATAAATAAGTTGATAAAAGGTTATAAAGATAAGATGAAAGAAATTTTAAAGCAAAATAAAGTAAAGTTGATAAATAAATTTTATAGAAACAACCCGATTCAGGCGAAAAATGGATCAAAGAACAGCTACAGCTCAAAGCTAAAGAGAGAAAGCTGAAACAAAAGGAAGAACAGGAGATCCAAGAGTGCCTCGGTAAACTCCAAAAGCTTGAAAGTCGCCAAAAGAAGGCCGAAATGCGGTACAAGAGTAATCTAGCTAATAAGACTTATGGAGGTCGAGAGGAATACTACAGGAATTATCAAAAATAAAATGGAGATAGCTAAGAAAGAAGAGGAGCAAAAGAAGCTTGCTTTACAGAACTACATAGCTAGAGAAAATAAACACAAAGAGTGCTTTAAAGATCTTCAGAGACGGAAGAAATACGAAAAACAGAAAAAGCTTGAAAAAGAGCAAGCTAAGATCAAAGCTGTAGAGCGGAACTTAGAAATAAAGATACAAGAGAGGACCAGAAGTGTGAATAGAGTGAAGCAAAAGCTACTTAAGGGGTCTCATTCGGTGATTCTAGACCGCTGTCCTACACAACTACATAAGATCCAACAAGGTCTCAAGACAGAAAGTGTCCAGATCAACAAGCAGAGAGCAAGGCGTCAGCTTGAGTATAAGAAATACAAGGTGATTCTGAAGCATGTAAATGGCTTGAAGACAACTCTGAAGAAAAAGCTTGACCAAGATCTTGAGATCCAACAGAAAAGTTACGATAATTATCAAGAGAACTTGAAACTGATTAAGCAGCAGGAGAAGTTAGACAAGATTGTGAGGAAGGCCCAGGTTAATTCCAGGTCAATGAAAAAGCTTATTGATAAAGCAGATGTCAAGGACCAAGTAGTTGTTAAGAAACACCTTCATGATGATGAAGGGGAGAGTGAAGAGTATTAACCAAATTTCAATCAGTTTGCTAAATTAAGGGGTTTTGGGGTTTTGGGGTTTTGGGG